GAGATTGAATATAAATTCATTTGAAAGTATACAAAGAAGACGATGATGCGTTGACTGTGGAGAGGCGGTCCACACCAAGATCAAAATATAGTGAACTGTGGAGAAGGGGTACCCACACCAAAATATAGTGTACTGTAGAGAAGGTGTGGGGGGGGGGGGGTCCACACCAAAATATAGTGCACTTTGTAGAGAAGGGGGGGGGGTGATATACAAGGATAAAGTTACAGGGAGAAACCGCATCAATTTTCACTTGCACCATAACCCCCGCTGTACTTGGCTGGTGTACTTTAAACCAACGAGGAAGAATGTGGGAAGGGAACAATGATCAACGTGAGGACATCAAAGGTGAATATACAAAAGGTGAATTTAATGTTAATAAATGTCATGTTATGGAATGTGGAATAGGAGAACATAGACCCCACACAACCTATATATTATGTGAGAAATCTTTAAAGAATTCTGATAAAGAAAGATCTAGGGGTGGTTCTAGATAGAAAACTATCATCTGAGGACCACAAAGAATATTGTGCGAGGAGCCTATGCCACGCTTTCTAACTTCAGAATTGCTTTTAAATACATGGATGGAGATATACTAAAGAAATTGTTCACGACTTTTGTTAGGCCAAAGCTAGAATATGCAGCGGTTGTGTGGTGCCCATATCTTAAGAAGCACATCAACAAACTGGAAAAGGTGCAAAGACACGCTACTAAGTGGCTCCCAGAACTGAAGGGCAAGAGCTACGAGGAAAGGTTAGAGGCATTAAATATGCCAAAACTAGAAAACAAGAAAAAGAGGTGATATGATCACTACATACAAAATAGTAACAGGAATTGATAAAATCGATAGGGAAGATTTCCAGAGACCTGGAACTTTAAGAACAAGAGGTCATAGATTTATACTAGCTAAACACAGATGCCGAAGAAATAAGAAGATTCACTTTCGCAAACAGTGGTAGACGGTTGGAACAAGTTAGGTGAGAAGGTGGTGGAGGCCAAGACCGTCAGTAGTTTCAAAGCGTTATATGACAGTACTGGGAAGACGGCACACCACGAACGTAGCTCTCATCCTGTAACTACATTTAGGTAATTACCACAGTAATGCTACGATATGATCCGACATGGAGCAACTGGTGTGATTCAACCCGTCCTCTTAAAAATAACGTCACTTTTGGCTCGTATGCGCCGCTATGGCCAAATTTGGACGTAATTTGAAATGAAATTGACTCACAAAAGTGACGTACTGTTCCGTTTTGTGTTTGAGTCGTCCGGCCGACTCTAAGGTTAGAATAGATGACTTTCAATTCACGTTTTTCATAACGTTTTGAAACTTCATGAGAATTTCCTGCCCACCTAACCTACCAGACGACCCTTAACTTACTGTTGTTGAAAAAAAATTCCCAAATTTATTTTCATTTTCAAATTACGTCCAAATTCGGCCATAGCGGCGCATACGAGCCAAAAGCGACGTTCTTTTTAAGAGGACAGGTTGTGCTATAACTTCTCGGGCACATCCCAGTGGTTTAGCATAAAACGCAAGGAAAATATATTTATTATTCTTACGGGATATTCGAGGGCGGCCAGCATGTAGGTGTTGAGGTGAGAAGCACACTGGAGGAGGGGTGGAGTAGCAGCACGCCACGACCACCACTGACGACACAACACTGATGCCTGTCCTTCACGGCCCTGTTGATGGTTCCTGTATAAACACCACACAATCTTATGTTATATAGTCTTGGGCCACATACGGGAAAATAGTGACCGATATTTAACCTAAATTCAAATTAGTAAATAATAGAGGACAAATAATATTTACATGTAACTGTCAAAAAAAGATATAGAAATTTATTTCTGACGGAAGTTTTGTTTCAGTAATAGGCTTTAAAGCCAACACGGAACCATTAGTGGGTGCAATATAGTGCCCAGCCTCATGTTTAGTTAGTACTTTACTAACCATGTGGACCATCGTACATATATTGACGTAATTTACAAATACAAACTAGAATTTGGCACAATTTCGCCCTTATTGAATTTGGAGGAAATGGAAAAGGTTTTGTGTTTTATGTTGCTAATAAAGCCTAACCTATTTTCCTAGGCCTAATATACGCTGAGGCCTAAAATGGTGCACATATGTGCTATACTATGCCTAGGTATATTTAAGTTTGGCTTTTAGCGTATTTTTTTCCGACCAATATAAAGTGAATAGTACCACATTCTACTCTAATTGTCATTAACGTCAATAAATGAACGATGGTTCACATATCTACAGTAAGTACTAAATGAACGATGATGCACACATCTACAGAAAGTACTATCTAAACAGGAGGATGCGTTGTTTATATAAATATACTTGAGAGATATGTTCACCTAGTAGCAAGTAGGTATACTCCTTGTTGTGGGGTTGCATCCTAGGGGGATGCAACACCCAGAATTGGGCGAATGTCATCCCCCCAATTTGTATTGGGGGGATTAAATAGGTCAGCTATTTAATACATTTAAACAAAGTCGTCATGATTAAAGAAAGACATACAGGTTTCGAAAGAGGTTGCATAGATGCCTGATGAATCTTGAAGTAGGGTTCGTCCATCATTTACGGGTCCATATAGATCTTTCACCTTTTACTTGCCGAGCATTGTGGCTTAGTCTATATTTACTGAACAGTTTACGAGCTCTGAAGCACTACAAGGTCGTCAGTAATAATAACTTGAGGCTCAGAGCGCTCTTGTAAGTCTCGTAGTGCTTCGGCTCTCATAAACTGTTTAATACATACCAACTACGCCACCATGATCGATGCAGGTGTTGCAGATCTCGTAAGTGCGAGTTCTGAACCTGATTCACCATATAGATAGATGTTCTAAAGTAGACGTGAACACCAACATAAAGTAAATTTCCCGATGACACTAAAATAGGGCGGGAAATAAATCCAGACGAAGATACACGAAGGTTAGAGAAGACCTTGACTTTAATGCTTGGAAAATTGAGAAATGCAGCTCGTTGTTGATAAACATAAGATATAATACACAAAAATTGTTAAGTAAGATTGTCAACAAAAAAATCGAGTTATGATTAGTATCTGAAACATTAAAACAATGGCATAAATTATTTATATAATACCACCAATGTGCCCAGGTGAACCATCTAAGCTTCGAAGCTGTAAAACTTTTATATGAACACCCAGTATCTAGAACAGCCCATCATCAAAACAAAGGACCGTCGTGTTCACAACGTATAATTTACCACTTTAAAAATTAAAGTGAATGATCTTCAAATTATGCGACGAAGGATGACCAAGTTAACCCAGGGCATCAAGGAATCTTGCTTACGAACGGAGAGTGAATAATTTAAGTTTACATTCCCTCAAACACTGTAGAGTAGGACGCGGCAAGACAGTAGGCAATAATATATTAAAGAAAGCTAACAAGAAAACTATACATACTGTATATGATCAACTCAGGACTAAACTCCAAAGCATGTATAGTATTTCTTTACATTTATAAAATAAATACCTTTACACAATAGCCTATAAATATTTAGTGTTGAGTTATTATGAAGCATTACGGAAGCATAGACTTTTTTGTCACATGACTATTAGGCCAAATGGGTTTGATTTTTTGTTAGAGATGATTTTCCTAAAGTGTTAGGTTCTTATTCTTCAGGAACATGTGTTAAGTTCTTGTTCTTCAGGTGTTAAGTTCTTGTTCTTCAAGTGTTAAGTTCTTCTTCAGGTACAAGTGTTGAGTTCTTGTTCTTCATGTCCAAGTATTATATTCTTGTTCTTCATGACCAAGTGTTAAGTTCTTGTCTTCTAGGTGCAAATATTGAGTTCTTGTTCTTCAAGTACAAGTGTTACATTCTTGTTCTTCATAAACAAGTATTAGGTGGTGTTCTACAGGTTAAAGAGTGAACTGGTGTTCTTCAGATGCAAGAGTGACAACACAAATGTGACCCATATGGTGCTCGGGGAACCTCAGTTTGACATGTCTGGTTATATAATATAAGTGGCAGCGAGTGTTCTAGCGGATGTTGTCACGCTGTTCACGATGAAATCACCAGAACCTGATTGATCAACTATTGTCGTATAAAGGGATCAAACCCGACCCCTTGCACTCCGTAGGCACACGCACTACCGATTGGACTATGCTGTGTTTGCCTGAGTTAACCAGATGCAGTCCAAGAACTCTCAGCTGGGGTCATTCTTCACCATTGGCTTATCTAGCTTGACAAGGCTGTCTTTTCTGAACCTCCTTGCAGATACATTCCAAGCCTCTTGCGCGGTATGGAAGCCAAAAATGTTACAAAAATAGCAGAAACATTACCCTTTTCTCGAGTGCTCTACGCTAGTTACGATATAAAACATAATCCGATAATCCAGCGATATTGTGGTGATGTATGAGGGGCTGGCTGTAGGAGTCCCACGGAAGGACTGGCAAGGGGGTGTGTGACGCGTGGAGGCGTGTGGGCCTGACAGCCAGCCAGAAATCTTCGCCTCACCCACCTTAAGCACACCTGCCCACCTCTCGCCCACACGTTAAGGTTGGGTCAGCTTGGGTCAGGCAGACTGGGGGTGGAGAGGAGTGGGAGAGGGGGGGGTTGTAGGTGACCACTAGGGCACGTGCAACGTAGCATGGCAAGATGGAGATGGCACCTTGGGTGGGTATAAGGTGATGGCGTGTTTACAAATACTTGGTGTCGCTGGCGGTGGGTGCCGGGCACCAAAATAGCCCCCGGGCCGCTCCCATTTTGGTTGGAGGGGGGTGTAGGAGCCACCTGCCTACGAACGCCAAAATCACAATTAATAAACATTTGTATATCCATTCGTAATAAATTCTTGTCAAGTAACAAAACACTATGAGACGTAGGGAGGAGCCCTGTAACTAACGGGCATAAGAACGATCGGTTAGAGGTATCTGTGGGTAGGATAAGAGTGATAATGTGAGTGATGGCGGCATGAAGGGCGCGAGCCGGCTGCCTGCAGGTATCTGGTAGCGAGAGGTGGTGGGCCGCCATTTACGTGTGTGCAGGCCAGCTGGGCTCTTGAAGAGCAGTCGCCCCGCTGCCCAGTCCGAACCCCGACCAGGCTAAACCTTCCTCCGCTCGGCCGAACAACAAGCCTCCGCAAGTGTTTACGGTGTGTATCCGGCAATAGAACAAAGCCTGAAGAATCTGTAAAATAATCTTTGCCGGGGGAGAGTGTGCCGGCAGGGCCATTGGAGTATACGTGTGAGAGTGGTCAGTGTCGCGCGCGGTCCATTAGTGTTCCCAAGTGCAAGCCAGTGTAAGTGTTCGTCTGTGTGGTGTTGCAGGAGTGGTCCCTCCCCCTCTCTCACAAGCTGCGCCGGCCCCTCCGCAACAGCCAGCCCCGTCAACACTGCCTGCAACTCAACGGCCAGCAAGTGTTCCTACCTTTTAGTAGTAGTAGTGTTGTTGTGGCAGCCCACAATGGCGGCACGCGGAGGGGCCCGCCAGCTGCCCTGCTCTGCTATCTTGCTTGGGCCCGCCAGCTGCCCTGCTATCTTGCTTGGGTCGTGTCACACGCGTGTCCCGTCATGTCAGTCATCTTCTTAACATCTCCAGTCTCTTAGCAACGAGGCGGAAATTGTAGTTCGTATCTGTAAAAGTGTAAATGTTTATCACTATCTCGTAACGTTTTATCATTCAAATTCGCCAAGACAAAGCAGAAATTATAAACAATTGCTAAATAATATTGTTCAACTTGCACCATAAAACGTAAATATAGAATATTAACCTAAATAAGAAATGATAATTGAATTGTTTAAATGAATCTGTGAAAGCCTAGTCAGTCCTGGACACATTACTGGACCGAGCTTAAAATGCAAAATAAATATTTTCTTAGCAAGCAATGATGAGGCTTGCCGTGTGGCCCTGGCAAGAATTCCTGATAAACTTTTTTAACATCCTTTGAAGATTATTAGGACATTTGGACTGGTTTGCAACTTCCCACAAGTCATTATTATGCAAAAAAGACCCCTTTCCCAAGAAGCAAGTGGCTAAGTATATCCAAGGAAGCCTTTAGTGGGTGTTGACTGATGTTACCCACTCCTGCCTTGAGCCCACAGTCTGCTTCTCCTCCTCCTCAGTGTCGTATTGTTGCGAATCTGTCTGTGGTTTTAAGTGTGTAATTAGCTAATGATACTTTTTCCTCAGTAAGTTAAGATAAAGAATGATCGGATGTGAAAAGATGTTTATGAATGGGGGGAGTCTGAACGTTTCCTAATGGTAGAAATTGACTTAGTTACACAAGAATGCAAGGGGTAATGGAGTCTACAGAATACAGAGTTCTGTACTGTCAAACAGAATATACAACTGTCCCCGATAGCAGGGAAGGTTTTTTTCTTTATTAAATAATATACAATATAAAGATCATATTTACATCAATTTATAAGAGAAATACTACATTTTTATATATTTTATATAATTCTCAGTAAACCAGTTTCCCATATTATCTAGTTTAAGTGAACAGGGAAGTTGAACACAATAGAGACAATGGGAGAACGCAAAGCCTTTTATAACTGTTGGCCATTACATGTAAAGCCAGATTTACATGTAACATATGTATATAATAATGATGATGGGAACATAAATTTTGAAAGTAACATTTGATTCTGAATGATCACTCTGCACTTGACTCAAGTTGTTAGAAATCAATGCATATTTGTGAATTAGGTGGGGATGAGGTTAGTACAGCAGAGGCGACTCAGGGATATATTAGGATGTAGTGATAGGTGATTAACAGTGGTTATAGTTTAGGTGTATGTTGAAAGGCTAGCAGAATGGTCATAATGTGCATACCATTGTTTGCAATGAGGTTTAAGCTGTCTTAATGATAAGAGTTTGGAGACTTGCACATGGCAGTACGGAAGTGTTTATTAAAGATGATAATTATCAAAAGAGCCCTAATGGTACTGCATGAAAGTAGCACTAGTGAAGGACATGTTTTGCTTAAGATACCGAAAAACGAAGGCAGACATCAAATAATAATATTGAACTAGCTCTGAGCAAAAATAATGCATATTCATTAATTCATTATATTCGCCTTTCTTTATTAATTTCAGTTACTTATATCGGAATTACATTAAGCATTTTGTTTTGAAAGTTTTACTTCTCATTACATTGAAAATTTTGTTTTGAAAGTACTAATTTATTTCTTGCATTTTAATAGGCTACCAATTATTATACAATGTTGTAAAAGTGTAAAGTAATTTAAGATAAAGAAGATGATGTTTGATGTTCAAACAATTATGTTGCAGTAACCATTTCGTTGAAAATTTTAATTCCTTTACAATATTAAGTCTAGTACGACCAAACATTACAAATATTATAAGTAAAACTATTATCAGTGTTCGATAACAATACATCAAGGACAAGTTTTCAATCATATACAGTAGCTGCACATACAAATTTATACTAGCGTGTGGGAGCTAACTGTAAGAACCTCAGAGACGGCCAAAAAGGCTAACCTCCAGATATGATTGACACTGGACTTTGTCAGGCAAGAGTCATCATATCTGCCTATCTCTGCATAATGCACGGGGAAGTAAATTCCAACTGTTCAGAGTCAATTATAGTTGCTGGCAGGTCAGTAAGCAATAAGTCAGTAACGTCCTTAATAACTCCTCCAGACGTTAATTAGCCTTAAGCCCAACACCAAACCAAACCCATCACAACATCAGTGAGGAGTCTTAAAAATAATCGATGTGGAAATCTGAACATTGATGATATCACGAAGTACGTTGACAAGTAGAAAGTATCCTCCAGATACTTGACAGAGATTATTATGAAAATTGGAATTAGTTTCTATAAGCATCAGAGATTAAAAAAGGAGTTAACATTGTGCTTCGTATTTTGAGTCCCCGAGCGTTTATATGATAAGGATATAGTTTGAGATCCTTGGATTCCAGCTATTTATTAATTCCTTATCAGGTGCTGTTTTCGGAAACGAAATTAAACTTTTTTATGACATGATAAACTGTTCGGTCAAAAATAACTTCAAGAAACTATGGTCCTATCTTACAGCGGAATATAAATGTCCAAGGCTGGACATTGCTTTAAATCCAAATAAATTTAAGTCAAATAGGATTTAAGCCACAATAGGCTTAAATGCAATAAAATAATATTTATAATAATTAATAATAATTTTAGATATTTATATTACCCTAATATAAATGTATGACTTAATGTATGTATGTATGTATGTATGTATGTATGTATGTATGTATGTATGTATGTATGTAAATGCTTAATGAATGACGTTATTTATAGGCTGTTATACTAATGATTTAAAAATATCCATAAATATTACAAATAAAAAAATAAGTTTGCTAACTTAAAATACTAACATAAGAAAATTTAATATTTTTAGTTCTTGGTGGGCTGCAGTGCCACTTGAGTTATGAGTCAGTGGACACAGTGCCTCTAGAATTGTCGCTCAATGCCTCTTAGAATTGCCGGACAATGATGAATGTACTTGTGTCAGGAGTATGGGGGGAGTGCACCAGAAGTTAGCAATGGTGTTGAGGAGGGAGGCCTTGAAGACTGTATCTCATGCCAACACAGTCTCATAACTCTTGCTGTCCCGTGATAATTGTCCGAGCACCCCAGGCTTTGTGCCGAGTGCCACGGGGGCGGCTTTCTTGGCGGCGTGAGGGATTCAATTTCTAAATTTCTTTCTTTATTATGCACCCCATACCCATCCCGTGGGCGGTGGTGGAAAGGGTTACAGAGAGATATAATCGGTTCAGGAACTGAACCCATAGTTCGTTTAGCTAAGCAAGTGACAATCTTTAGTCTTGTACTTCTGTAGCATAATAGTTTTTGCTTTCAATTTGATGAGGAAATTTGTTTCGTAATGAACCGAGTGCTTGTTATTGCGGCTGATTTTTTTTCAGTAAAAGTTATGATTTTCGTTCATAATAGAGCTAATATTGAAACTTTTCAAGCTGGAAATGTGTTGAATTTCTAATGTAAATCATGTGTATAGGTCTTGGTGTTAACAATGCATGCCATTAGTCATCCTTGTTTCATATCGTTATAAGTTAACGTGCTTGGTGATCCAACATTGTCCCCAAGATGTTCAATTCGCCCACTTTTGAACTCTAATTAACATATATCTATACCTTTCCTTCATGTAAACTAATTTATGAATCCATAATAAAGAAATACAAGTAATCATATTTACATGTAGATGACGCTCTGTATCAACTTTTATTTTTTATTTTTTTACTTTTACGTTTATTAAAGGTTGGGAATGGTTTGGCATACAGTTATCAGGGACAAGAAACTTTGTTAGAATTATTGAAGCCCCATAGCACACAACCGCAAAGTAACTTGAACCAACAACCCGTTCTTCTGAATAGTACATCGCATTTGGACGTATAATTTCCCTAAGGCCAAAAATCTGTGTACTAAAAATGGAAGCCGCATCGCGAACTTGACATGATGTCCCGTTTTCTGTTCGTAGGCCCTTGGGTAGGTTAGGTTCGGGCAATTTAGCACAAGAGTTTAGCTCGAGAGAACGGAGTGCTGACTAGTCAAACCCAACACTGTTTAAAACCTGACACACTCATCTGAACGACGCGCACATCACCCAGTGCACCATCATGACTGTGGTATAAAATTACACGTGAAGGTTTAGAACCTATAATGTGCTTCGAGTTCCAATTTAAAATCATTGACGCTCATAAAAAAAGAGCACTGAGGAGCCAAGGACGGTGAAGGCTATCTAACATTTATACAAACAAATGATCGAATTTGATAAAGCAGCCACTAATATTTTTTTAAAAGAACACTCGAACTCTTAGAAAACTGTGCCTTTCTTTTGGCCGAGATGACCCAAAATCTAGAGTATTGGTTTAATTTTCAGAAAAATCGGCAAAGCCGCTCAAGCGCTGGGGCAATGACACATAGATTAACATGATTAAGAATTTCAAAACAATTTGTATTTCTCGGCGCTAAATGACACCTATATTAAATTCTAATAGATTTGCTTCAGCTTTAAACACTTGATTCGTATAGTATAAAAAAAGCTTTTTACAATAAAATTTTGACGCATTTCAGCAAATATCACCGTTTTCTTAATGCATTAAATTGACCAATAAAACTTATACAATATTTCTTTTGTAATGGGAAAAGTTAAGAAGTAAAGCGCAACTATTCTTGAAATTCGTAGTTGGGATAATACTTCTCGTTAAATGGTTAAAACAAAGCAGTAAAACCTAATGGTGCAAAACACTCGTTCTTGCAATATATCCCACTAAC